TTAAGAAGCTTTCAAGAGGATATTTCCACAAACTCTTCATCTAAGGTAAGATTATGCTTGGATCTATGACTTAGGTTCTTTGTGTTATCAAAATCTTTTCCTAATCCATGCAAAAATCGTGATCTTACCTCTTAGAAGCATACCAAACTCGAGATCTTCAAGAAAAGGGTGCTAAGGCCAAAAATCACCAAGTTTTCTTCCATCTTTTCTTCAAAAACCGAAATCACACCCTAAGGTGAGCTTCATACCCCTATTTTCTGTTTTTATGAGTTTTGTGGGGGGGGGGGGGAATACAAGTGAAAGTGTAGATCTATATATGTTTTGTATGCCTTGTATGATTTCTATGCTTATATGTGTGTTTTTGTGTGTTATAATGTTGGATCTAGCCTTAAAACCCCTAAAAACCGAGATATACTTTATGATTAATGATACTAGCATCAAGTATATTTCTACATACAAAGTGTTCCAAGAAAAATAGCTAAATGGCTTAATAACATTTTATTTGGGCTAAAACTCAATTTTTGGACATAAAATGTTAAAAATATAAAGTTAAAGGGCCCAAAATGTCATATCACGAATTCTGATGGATGAGGAGTGTCAAAACAGTTTCAATGAAATATTTTCTGAAAATATACTCATTTGGAGGATTAAAAATATAAATTTCAAGCTTAATGGGCTAAAAATGACAATTTCGGCCCAATAGGGCCCATTATGCGAAATTTTCTGTTTTGGAGGGCCAAAACTGTGTTTTTCTGTAAAACAGTGGACTACTAAGGTTCCAAGTACTTTTCAAAGGTTTAAAATGCTTTTCAAATTTAAAAAGGACCAAAGTTGCAAAAAATTTCCAATTTGGGCCAAAATTGTAAAAACTGCGAAAAAGAGGGGTTATAACCGAGAAAACTGCAATTTCAGGGACTTAAACTGTTTTCAATGAAAAATATGCTGAAAAATATTAATTTCAATAATTTTTGGTGTTAAAATGTCAAGAAAAATGATTTAAGGACCAAACCGGAAAGTTATTTAATTAGAGGGTTGAAAAGAGTAAATTTTACAAACAATGAGGGGCTGAAAACAGAAAACTTTCAAGGCTAATTCAATGCACGCAACTTGATCAAATATTGGCACCGCGACTACCTACGTAATACAATACACAACAATACCAAAAATCGTTGTTAAACGAATTGATTCGGTCTCGAATCAATAACAATCCGAAAATACTAACACGACGATAACTCGATTCATACACGAAAACATTTGGTAATTCAATATACACGTGAGAGTGCACAGACGTCTACGCACCATCTTTGGGCCCCAAAGTGTAAAATCTTGTTTGTTGGGCCTAGCTAGCCCAATGACCTGATCTTAAGGCCCGAAGACTTCTACCTTACGAGTTGTTGGGTCTTACATGATCTAACACAGCGTAAAAGGACTTTCAATGGCTTTTATACTATTGGTCCCCAAGGGTCCTATGGTATTGCTAGTAAAGTCGGTATTTCATGCGAGGCGGGTCAAGGGCCCCTCGTACCTTTTTTTTTTATCCCCAACCGGTTAATGGAGTCATCGGGGTCTTCGTGTCCTCTTTCTCTTCGGATGTGGGATTACTCGGAGTCAGGGCGGTTGGATAACGTGATTAGTACGGACGACGCCTACGGGATCGTTAGTATAGTTATAAACTGGTCGTTTGTGTAACGCTTGTTTATAGCAATTAATCATGCGCAAAAATAATCCGACGTCGCCTGGAATTAATGACTTCACGCGTTACAATGGTTTTATTTTAACTTCATGGAATTCAAAGAATTAGGAAAACATCGGGTTTTCCTAGGGTTTTTCAATACATACAGTTTCGAAATGTACACAAGTTTAATGAACATTTTTTTTACAACTATAGAAACAAACAAGCATACTTATGGATCTTCACAAACTTTTTCAGAAACTCTTTTCAGAAAATATCGGATTTTCTGGTGGTTTTCAAAATAATACAAAACGTTGCTTTTCAAATACCGCTTATGAACTCACCAACATTTCATATGTTGACGTTTTTCAAAATACTTGTATTCTCAGGTAACCAGTGAATCAAAGGAAAATGTACTCAGTGATGGCTTGCAGTTTATCTATTAACGAACTGAACAATTTATTTTTGGGAATGTAATGTTTTGAGACAATGTAATGGATGTAAACACTATCAGTTGTAATATTCAAATGTTGGTGACGAATGATGTTATGTTTCATGTATATTCATTGTGATGGTATTCAATTGAGTCACAACAGCTCCCGAACGTTTCCGTCGTCTGGTTCGGGGGTGTGACAATGGACATGTACCTTTATTGGCAATTACATCTTTACCCTTGCACTTCGCCCTACTTCTAGTTGAGGGCCCACCACCATCAACTCCTGTAGAAGACTTACTTACAACACCTTTACATTTCACCTTAATCCGGATTTTGTCATTTTTGGCTAGGTATAAAGACCTCCTTGTTGCTACAACATGTGAGTTCATGTAGTTTTTAACATCAAGCTTGGTTTTGAAGACCTGGCCAATCTAAAATGGTTTAACATGAACCTCTCCATGTGAGCATGTACTTGACTTACTCAACTCTTTTAGCAGTCTCTTCCTATCATCTTCATGAAATCCTGCAAATTGATAATCATCAGTGGCAATAACTTCCAACTCATCATCAACCATATCAATCCCTTCATCTTTTGAATGATTGTTCAAGATTCCATGTTCATCTACATTAACAGCATTATGGAATTCACTCATGTCTACATCTACATCAAATTGTATGTTAGACTCATCCACATTGTATTCACTGTCATCAGAATCATCTCCACTATCCTCAGAACCATGGCCACTCTCAGAGTAGAAAGCTTCTCCACTATCATCACTCACCATACCCTCTAGATAATCCACTTCCGGTTGTTTTTCAAATGAAGTTTCAACATTAAACTCAACATCATAATCAATATAAAGTGAGTAATCCTCTATAAATAGTTCATAATCATCAACTGTTGTAGTATTAGCTCCATCATCAGCTTGGCAGCTTGGTTCATGTACATGGTAAGTTCCCAATGGTTCTTCAGTTTCAACTGCACTAGTGATCACTTCTTCTCGAGTTTCAATTTCTTGATTCACCACTTCCTTTTGAATGACATGACTTTGTTTGCCTTGTGACATTATGAATGGTACAATACTCTTTGAGTAATCATGGCCTTCATCAACATCTAACACTTGTGACTGCTCATAATCAGGGCTCATAGACTTGTTTAGATTAAGCTTTCTACTACATGATCCTGCTTCTCTTTTACAAGGTTTCTTTCTATTCATTTCAGGTGACACACTATCAGGCTCCAACTCTTCAATAACAGCTTTTGAAGGAGACTTGTAATAAGTAGCTACCCTTGTCTGACCAGTTTCAATATACACCCTAATAAGTCTGTGTTTAGGGACATATGATACCATTTTAAGTACATCTTGATCATTACCTAAAGGCATTAAGCCATAGTCCAAAGGGTATTCAGGGATACATAAATGGTAGTAAAGGGTTTGCTCAGTTTTGTACCCTAGTTCTCGAACCATGTCGTCAAGCTCATGAACTGAAAATAAATCAGTGTCAACATCATCTACATATGCTACAACACCATCAACGTATTTCCTTCCAGGTGCTTTGGTGAAGACACCATTGTAGTGTATCTTCAACGTGAAATAGTTGTCATAACCTTCTATAAACACAAAAAAAGAAAGAGTAAAATCAATGATCTCCTTACGTCAACACAATAAACCAAGAAAAACAAGTTTTGTTGTAGTATTGTACCGTATCTTTTTCCTAAGTCCTCCACGGTTACAAATTTTTCTCGAAAACACCATATTGATAGCACCATTGCAATTTCTGCAGCTTCAAACCCTCAATCCTAATTTTTGTTCTTGCTTCTACGATGGGAATGAACCCGATGACTAAACCTGTAACTGGTTATCTTCTTGGGAGAGGGACGGGTAGTGATGTGCAAGCAAGTAATCATTTCATATTAAATAGAGAAGGTTACAACTGAAATGACGAAATTACCCCTGCAATATTCTATTAAAAAATGAGGTAACGGTGAAATGCTAACGAAGTGAGCCGGAAGAACCATTTGTTAAAAGTTTTGAAACCACATGGACCATCTGTGAGGTTTTTTGAACTTAGGGACTATACTTGATATTTTTGGAAACCACAGGGACCATTTTTGAAGTTTTGTCATGATTATATGGCAGAGATGTATAATCATATAGGATTATACATATTTATATGTATATGCTAATCATAAATGATTATACATATATGCTTGTTCATAGATTAAGTAATCATTAATGATTATAACAGCTGGTGGCAGAAGAGGTGGTGGTGACAAAGGTGACGGTGGTATAAGTAACGGAGGTGACTATGGTGGGGTCGACTTGTGTTAGAGGTGGTGATAGTGGTGGTGGGGATGGTGGCAAAGGAGAAAGGAACGGGCGGCACTGTATAATCATTTATGATTATACTAGGCCTGTCGTGCCGGTACGCCGGAGGGTTAGAGCGACAGATGTGAAATACGTGGTTGAGGTTGAATCTCAAGATCTCTATTTTATTTTTAATTTCAACGGAACCTACCTCTCTCTCTCTCTCTCTCTCTCTCTCTCTCTCTCTCTATATATATATATATATATATATATATATATATATATATATATATATATATATATATATATATATATATATATATATATATATATATATATATATATATATATATATATTCAAAAAAATGGTATTGAATTTAGAGGATCTTTTGGTAAATTAACAATTGAGAAAAGGACCAACATGGAAATTCTGAAAAATCAGTGGCAAGTTTTTGTTGTCTTCTTCAAAAATTTATTTTATCGTAATGAAACAAAGAGTCTGTTAGAATCCAATTTCTCTATCTAAACACCAAAATTAGTAAGCATTTTCTTCATTTTAAACACGGGGTGTCTTCCAAAGTTCATGGATATTGATCTTTCACACATTTCTTGGGCGGTGCTACTGCTTTTGGAGCTTCAAAGTTCAGTTTTAATGGCGAATGTTAGCAGCAGCCTAGAGCTCGTTCTTTTCATTGGTGTCCTCTTTCTTTTTCCTCTGTTTGCTCATCCTCTCGAGATTCCACCGAGACTCCTGTTGAATTATTCACCACCACATACAACCACCGTCACCACCAGTTATCTTCGAGGGTCTCTTGCAGCTGCACATGAAGTTCCTAGTGGTGCAAACCCAGATTCCAACAGGTGAAGGAAGTGGATTTTAGTGGCTAGTGGCGGCGGTAGTGTTGCTCCGGTGATGAGTAAGTAATTGATTTGGGTTTAAAGAAGGTAGATTATGTGTTTCCGCCATTGTCAACCATGGATGTGTACAACTTTCTGTATGTGTTCTTCCAACTGTGTGATTCATGATAATGAACACTGGGGAGTATCTGGTTAATTTACTTACTGAATGTTTTTTTTTTTCTAAATCAAATTACATTACTGGAATATTAAAAGCAAACCTTGCAAAATAAACATTATATGAAAATGTTAATTATAATGTCACCTTTTTGCCTTCACATTCTTATATAATATGGCATTTGCAACAAAAATATTTACCCCTTACAAAAATCTTCCGTTGGACTTATTTTAGTTATGTAACTCTTGTGTCGTTTCAGTGCTACAACCGAAGGTGACCATTGAAACCATTACTCAATGATAAGAAAACTATTTTCAACATAATGATTGGTTCTATCACGTTCCCTGGATGGTGGGTTTTGATTAATTGAACACATTTATCTACTATTAAATAGATGATTTTTTATAATAAATTATATGATTCATTTTGAGACAAAAAGAATTCTTTCAACAGTAAAAACGAGAAAAGGGGTATTAATATGATGGGATTGGGGAAGGAAAAATGTCCGTCAAGTGGATGAATTATTGGTTAGAGAGGAATGTACTTTAGTAATTGTCTTGGTTCTCAATACTCATGAATCATGGACTGATGGTACAACAATGATTACTTGAATTGTTTCACCTATCTCCATTATGTTAACCGGCCATCGTTTTTCCCCGACCACAACCATATTTTATGTTCATCGTTTTTATGTTCTGTCAGGTTGAGGAACATGATTCCTCACCTGGGTTTGCAATCCGATAATTAACAACATTGTCCAAGTCTAGGAAGAACATTTGGTCTATGAACATCATTGGACACCAGCTTGACTGGTTTATAGAAGTGAGCTCTAGAAAACCATTTCTTTTTTGCATTACCTTAATATTTTCTTGCCTGCATTTCTTTCAATACCCTGCACATCTATACCTCATCTTGTACGAGACCTACAATGTATATTTTTTCAAGTTTCGGTATCTAGGGAATACAACATTAGGTAAATGGGGTTTGCAAGTATAGTAATCCACCATCGCAAATCGCAATCAGGGAAGATCGCCGAATATAAAACCAATGGCACCTTGGTCTTTCATGGAAGAAGTTCAACAAAAACCATTAACATCATAAATCCATAATTGCCTAAGAGTGTGTGTTGAAATTAAGCTAAACTCTCATGATTAGAGTGTGTTTGGCAAAACTTATTTGAAAAAACTTATGACTTTTTTACTTATAATTATTTGGTTAAATAATGAGTTTTTAATAAGTAAGGGGTAGGTTACTTATCATATTTTGACTTATTAAAGGTTACCAACAGCTATAAGTTGTTTTTTACCCGAACATTTTTTTGACTTATACCGGTATCAAACCGGTAATAAATCAAAAAACTCATTTTTAAGCTTTATCGAACACCCCTTTGGTAACATTTAATTGGCATTATGTTTCTTGTTTCAACCATCAATGTATGAACCATTGTCATTGATGACATATGCCTAAAATACAACAAACATATTATATACTTAATAGTATATTCATTTTACAAATATATATATATATATATATATATATATATATATATATATTACCTACATAGAATAAGATAGATTCATGAATCTTGGAGACAAAATGATAACACCCAACTTGACTACAAAGTCAACCCGCCCCTTTGATTTAAGGGGGGCCATGTGAAAGCTTCACATTCCATTTGGAAATGGCTATAAATAGTATACGAATGAGAAGGAGCGGGAAGGGGAGACACTAAAAAAGAATTCTTGTTCTTCTTCTATCTTAATATCTCAATGTAATGTATTAATAGAAAATATGGAGAAGTCGTCCCAAGAGATATCATATAAAAGCAAAGTAACGTTTTCTAGAAAAAAAAACATCATCTGCAAGCCATAATCTTTCTCCAACCAAGTCCTTCGAATCCTTTTCGGAAAAATGGTGTAAAACTACAAACAAGGTATGAAGTTACCTATGGGGTAACGCCACCCGAGATATTTTTAATATCATTTTCCATCACTTATTGTTGTATTATTTAACACACTCGTGTTTTCTCCTAATTTATGAACCCTCTAAAAATGATGGCAAATTCCAGATCCCTTTTTACAGGACCGGGTCGAAACGATCTAAACCAGTAAAAAGGATCCGTTATTTTACATATCATCAATTGGCGCCATCCGTGGGACTCAAACCATATATCTCCGAAAAGAAGTTAAACAGAGCTCGCAAATGCTACCTGGCCAACAAGGACGAAAACATAGCCATCAACGGAGACGAACCACCTCAAATCACGACTCAAGGAATGATAGGTGTCCTAGTCAAGTCAAGCATCGAACCCATACCTATCACCCAAGGCATAGGCGGACCTTGTAACTTGATCTTGGAACCAACCCAGGAAGACCTAATCATTTAGTTTGTGGTCCATAATTTTGATCGGATGAATGCCATGTATAAATCCTTCATCCGAAAGCTTAAAGAGTTGTCATCCTATCCTGCACTCACAGACGTAGATCCTCCGATCGTAGAACCACTGATCTCAGACTCAAATGGCGTGCGTGTAACAACCCAAAAAACAAACCAGGATAAAAAAATTCATTTTTAAATAAGAAAAACAGTTATTATATTGTTCCAAAACCCATTACATAATAAAAATGTCAAATCATTAGAGTAATAATATCAATAAGTGCGAAAAATGGTGAGGTGAGAATGTTGTGCCATCACGCCAGGCCCTTCCCCTTAGTACCGAAAATACTTCAAAACATAAATACAAACTGTAAGCAAAAGCTTATTGAGTTTCCCCAAAGTACCACCTACCAAAACATAAATAAGTTAGTGTTATGGGCGAAACGATACTCTTACAAACAATTTCCTGTTGAGGGTCAAATCCTGGTCTTTAATACAGTTGCAGGGGCTAGATCTTGGTCTTTCATACAAATGTCAGGGGCCATATTCTGGTCTTTCAAATAGTTTCCAGGGGCCGAATCCTGGCCTTTCATATACATATATCAAATATAGTTAATACCCTATATCACAAATAATGGGCCGACCTTGGTGCCTTCGACCCATTGATACAGTGAGAAAACTCACCTTACAGGCAGACGAAAAGCCGAAATGACACGCTGCTATGAAACTCACACTACCGATCACCTTTACAATTAAAAACCACCAAAACTCAGGCTAACAATCAAAATACGTAAAATGCCCCTAGGTCAAACCCTAGTAAAAACCACGTCAAAGTCAGCCGAGTCAACCGGGATTACTCAATCAGTATGCAGGGCGTACCTCGTAGTTGACCGGAAGGCAGGGGGCTGACCTCGTACACTCAACGTACCCTTTGGTACACCTTGTGTACGAGGCTGCTTGCCAAATTCATAACCAAGTGCTTAACCCCTTAAGCAGCCACGTCTAAAATTCAAATCTAGGTCACATAAAACCCTAGTTAAAACCAGGTCAAAGTCAGCCGAGTCAACTGGGATTACTCAATCAGTATGCAGGGCGTACCTCGTAGTTGACCAGAAGGCAGGGGGTTGACCTCGTACACTCAACGTACCCTTTGGTACACCTTGTGTACGAGGCTGCTTGCCAAATTCATAACCAAGTGCTTAACCCCTTAAGCACCCACATCTAAAATTCAAATCTAGGTCACATAAGATGTCCTAATCCATAAAGTTTCCAACTTTATAGTCTATCATGGCTATTAAGTCCTTAAAACCAAAAACTCTTAACCTCTTATCCCATTAAGACCATTTAACACTTGCATGGGGGGGAAAACTAGTGACAAAGAACCCGACTTTATGACTTAACAATGCTAAAAAGCTCTGAAAGGATAACTCAAATGGGTTGGAGTACCTCCTACTCATAAAGGCTAAGTTTAGGACCAAAAAGGAAAAAACTTGAGCAAAACTAGATCGAAGAGATTCAATCATCAAGTTTGAAACTTTTTACGTCCACAAGGTAGACATAAGGGACTAAATGCTAGATCCAAGGCCTTGAGTGCAACACCACCACTTCAATGTTCTTCCTTATACTCCAATAGCTTGAAAAGTACACCAAAAATATCCCTAACAAGCTTCAAAAGCACAAACACACTTAGGGTTTTCGAGATAAGGAAAGAGGCTGAAGGTAAATAGGTGCTTGAGGCCATAAGTGAGCTTAAATAGGGTCCAAACCCTAAAATTTAGGGGTTTACCCTCCAACTGCATACTCCATGTGTACTTGCATACACTCAACATTCTAACGCACTCTGGAGTATGCCTTGCGTACGAGGGAGTATGCCCCGCGTACACCCATGGTCTTCAAAATTACAAAGTTGCCATCAGGGACTAAACGTGCAAAATAAACATAACTCAATGATTAAAAGGGATACATGAAATCTAGGTGTTACAAATCTCCCCCACTTGAACTAGACTTCCCCTCGAAGTTTGTTGCCCCGAATAAATAAGGGTAGTTGATGTGCGTGAAATGCACTATTTTTAGTCCTAATTTTTAAAATATAATTTAGACACACAAAGGCAGTGGACCTATCAATTAGTGGTATAACTGAATAAGCAGGGTATCGAACTCAGGGAACGGTAATTAAACTAATTAGTAGAATTATCTAAAACAAGTAATAAAAGTGAAATGTTTTCTCTAGTTTTGCAAGACTAGAAACTTAAACAATTGAATAAAACTCAAACTAAGCATCTAACAACTAAAGCAAATAAACAATCAAATAAATTCAATAATGGAGAAGACTTTTGTTTAGGTTCAATTAATTTACTCCTATGGTTGATTTCATGGCAAATGGATTAATTGTAATTGGATACCGACTAATGTGATTAGGTTCATGTTCGCTATTACTAATCCTTAGAAAACAAATCAATTCAAACAATGGCCAATTGGTTAAACTAAAGAGTTCCCTTGTTTATTGATTCGAGTTAAGTAGCACTTGTAGTTAGCTAATCAAATTACTAATTCAATTAACCTCTTGTTAATGGTTCATCATACAAGCTCACACATTAACTTACCTATTTTCTAGTTAATCCTAGTTTCACATTTGCTATTCCTAGGCACATAAAAATGTTTTCACATAAATCATATGAGATAAGAAATTAAGAGATGTTCATGCAGCTTAATATACTTGGTAATTAACTGAAGTAGTTGTTGTTAACACATAAGGTTCTTTAACAAGCTTAACAAAACTAAACTCACCAAATTCAGTTAATCCAACCATAAAATCAAACCATAGTCATAACTTCATCTACCCTAAACAAAAGATATGAGTTTTAGCTCATGATTACAATAGAAAATAACTCAAAAATGAAATCTAAGAGCTCACACATAGTTCAAACAAAAGATTAAGTAAAGAGTAAACTAAAATTGCCTTTGATCTTCTAAAAATTGATAGCTAGGGTTGTTCCACAAGTTCCAGCTGCACCTCCAGTCGTAAATTAATCCCAAAGGGTTCCAGAGAAGGGTTTGGTTTCGGGCTTATGTGTTCTATTTATAGATTTCTAAAAACAGAGGCTACTTACCGAGTCCAATAACCGATTCGCCGAGTCCGTCGTTAAATACCCATGTATGGAAAGGACTTCTATTTGCTTCACGAATGTTCGTGTCTACTCTTCGCGTAGGCACCCCACTCGCCGAGTAGGTGTGGTTTTTGACTCTTTTTCTTCTTTCTTCAATTCACGAGCTTCTGATTGCTATTCCCACTTCCTTTTGCTTCCGAGCACACGTTTTAGGCTGAAAATACAATTTACACATAATTTAGTACCTTTTGTCAATAAATTGCAATAAATTAGCCAAAAGTATTAAAATTCTAGACGAAATATATAGCCAATTATGCACCTATCAAAATACCCCACACTTGACTTTTGCTTGCCCCCAAGCAAAACTAAATTTTAAACATACTAACATCACATAAAACAATCCCAATCAAACCCAACTATTATGCCAAGACCGCAACGCATGCATTTGTGTCTAAAAATTTTCCTAAGGACCCCCCTCAATTCTAAATACTAACATTCCTGATAAACACTCTCCCACTTCTTTTGAACAACGCTCATTTTATGCATCCATCTGAATCCAATTGTAGAAAACTTCCTAACCTCAAGGTATTTTTGGTCAACCAACCCAAGCATACATAATCTAGAAAATTACAACTTTTTGATACCACTATGGAACTCTTTGGAATTCTTCACTTCTTTGATGATTTGATCTTGATTTCTTTGAATTCACCAAGTTTTCGATTTATTTTTGGTATCTTCAACTTTTGAACTTCTTTAGAATTTTGATCTTTTGTCTTCATACTTTGATTGCTCCCAAAATTCTTACAACTTTTCTTGTAATTCTCTCTCTTTTTTTACATGTATCTCACTTTTTTTCACTCAATACCTACATGCTTAAGTAGGGTCGCTCAACTTAAGCCTTTATTGGTTAAAGATATTAGTTTTCCTAGATACATTTCAAGTACACGATGCTAAACATATTGCATTCCTCAAACTAAGCAAGGTCGTGTTTTTGTCCTATGAGTTCACTAAAATAAAGGAGGCCACAAATGCATTATAACGTGTATAGGCTCAACTAAACATTTGGGTCTTCATAAAATCATCAAACACAATACTAGCATGATTTCCTAATTGCTTTACCAAATTTTTCTAAATTAGCCCTAAAAATTTAATGCAAGAATTTTAAAATTTAACTAACATAACCAACCCCCTACCCCCACACTTAATTTATGCAATGTCCCCATTGCATATTACGCATGATAAAGGAAATAACAAAGTGAAGATGGAATTAGAACAAACTCCCCTGGGATAGTAGTGGCGGGGTTGATCTTCTTCATTTGACTTTAGACATGGGAACAACCCATCCATGCATTAGGTGTCATTCATCTCGTGTGGTACAACTCTAATTATGCAGGAAAAAGTCTCGGAAATGCTCGGTAAATGATCTTCAAAGAATACAACCAATGCCCATATCAAATGTCATCAAATTGTTAGATTGATAGTAGAAGAATGAGCAACTCATCGAGTAGCTATGTAAACTCGCCGAGTTGTAGCATAATTGGCAGAAAAATCATGAAATTTAACTTGGACTCGTCGAGTCCATAATGTGCACTCGGCGAGTAGTCCGCTGTGTGAAAAAAAAACTTGTATTCTGCCCAGGTCTGTTTTTGAGGTATGTGTATAATATCAAAATGACATTTCCCCTCATTTTTCTTCAGTAAATAAACACTCAATAACTCTTCTCTCAATCGAACTTATAACGTGACTCAAAACTTCGTTTTCTATCTCGCCTAGACTCGATTTCTTGCTTGGTTAGCCTTGACTCTATACCCTTGCATGCATTCTCTAACCTCAAACTGAAACCGTCAAAAACAAAAGTGATAGGAAAAGAAACCCAATAAAATCCTACAAAGTCCTAATTATA